GACGCGTCGTGGAAGGTGTCGGGCAGGGACCCGGCCAGTGACAGGTCGGAGGAGGCGGGCGAGATGGGGGGACTGGAGCTGGTGCTGCCGAAGTGGTAGAAGCCATTGGACAAGGCGCCTGCGGACGGGGAGGACTGGTAATGGGGCAGAGTGCCGGTGGGCGTGACGGGAAAGGTGACGGTGGTGATGTCCCCGAAGCTGGGCACGGGGCTCCCCGCGCAGTCCTGGAAGGGCCGCAGCCGGTCCATGAGCGCCGTCTTGGTGCCTGACACGGGCAGGCCTCGGAGCCGAAGCTGCTGTCTTAACTCGGACACCTGAAGAGAGCAGGGCACGTTACTGTGCTGTTCATGACCGTGTTTTAAACGTGAATTATTATTACATTAACTTCAAACGACCACAAATGCAGTCTCACAGTGTCCACTTCTCTTATTATTTCTGTCTCACTTCCACCCCTGCAACCAATATAAATCAGTTTTGCACAATTTTAATAATGCTCTTACAATGTGTCCTATACCATGTTTTCATGGCTCCTGAATCATAGACCAATTCCTGGAAATGTAGAGCCCACACGAACCACAGAGGCACCTCTGTGCTGCCTGCCAATCCCATCCTGGTCCTGTCCCCATTTTACAGATGAAAAGACTGATATCTGCCTAAGTTCAGGCATCAGCTGGCAACCAGTCATCCTGCAGCATACTAACACTCCCGTGTGCTGCCTCCTACCTCCCCACCCGTCCTCCTTGTGGGCGATTCTCAAACCCCAGCAGGTGCCAGAGCCCAGGCCTGCAGATTCTTACACAGGTAGCTGGGCCCCTACACCAGTTTCTGGTTCAGTGGGTCAGGGGTGGGGGCTGAGAGGTGCCTTTCTGACAAGTTCCCGGGGCGCTGATGCCGCTGGTCCCAGCCCAGTGTTGGAGAACCGCAGCTGTACATTAACACCCTGTCCTGAGTTTAACAGCTGGCGAATAGCAGCGCTCTACTGAGAGAGAGAGGTGTGGCAATAAGATCCTCCATTCAAATGCTGGCCCTGCTCTTCCTAGTTCAGTGGTCACCCTGTGCCCCAGCTCCGCTCCTGCACAACACAGACAATCCTACCACTTTATAGTCTCTCGTGAGGATTGAGGTAGCTTAAACAGTGGAAAGCACTGGGAAGAGTACTTTGCACATGGTCAGTGCATGTAGGGGCTGTTATTGTTATGTTGACGCACATATAATTATTTCATCCCTGCACTTTTTCATGTTCATGAATTTTAACCATCAGATATCTAAAAAAATAGAAACTAAATAAATAATAATGAATGCAAATGATGGAATACTTTAGACCTATTAAAACTGATGCTATAAATATTTGTTGATATAAAAATAATTATTTATGGTATAGTATTACATTTAAAAGGTTTCAATTACTTCATTCTATTTTCTAAGAATTATATATATATACAGTATATATGTATATATATACTGTATATATATATATATACACACACACACATATATAATGTATATGAATATATATTTAAGCCTGTGCTTGCAGATTATAATATCTGGATAAAAATGTGCTAAAATGTTAACGATGGTTCTCTTTATCTGTATTTCCTAAGTAGTTCCCATAAGCATATTACTTTTATAATTAAAACAGGAACCATATTAAATACCTAAATGTCAATAATTCCATAAACAGCTAGAAGAATATATACGAAAATATCCTTCTGATATTCTGTAGGGGAAGACCTTTTGAGCATAAAACCAAAGAAGCTAATCATAAAAAGTTGACCAAAAAAATTTGAAAACTCCTATCAGTCACGAAATGAAGATGCAAATGCAAATAGAACTTTAAGAAAAAATAGTTGCAGGAAAAATAATAAAGTATTAGTATGCTCAATGTGCCAAGCATGTTTAACAACCCCGAAGAGAAAGATGGACACCCAACATACAAATGGGCAATGGACATCATCCAACTCTTCACAAAAGAGAACATTTTTAAATGGCCAATAATGTATGCATACCATCATTAGTAGTCCAAGATTTGCAAACAAAAAATATACATATTTTTGTATTCATCTAATTGACAAAGAAATTTGCAATAGCACTTTGTGTTATTTAAATAGCAGCAAAAATAAATCAATAAAATTTTTAAATTGGTGAGAGAGAGAGAGAGAGAGAGAGAGAAAGAGACATTGATATGAGAGGCAATCAATAGGTTGCCTCCTGACTGGAGATTGAACCCACAACTTGGGTGTGTGCCCTGACCAGGAATCAAATCCACCACCTTTTGGTGTATGGGATGATGCTCCAACCAACTGAGCCACACTGGCCAAGGCTAAAAATGTTTTTTCGTTTGTGTTTGTTTATTTTGTTTTTAAGCTATTTTATACTTAACTAGATGCCCGGTGCATGTGCACGGGAGGGGAGGGGGCCCTTAGCCTGGCCTGCACCCTCTCACAATCCAGGACCACTGGCTCCTAACCACTCACCTGCCTGCCTGCCTGATCACCCCTAACCATTCTGCCTGCCTGCCTGATCATCCCTAACTGCTCGCCTGCCTGCCTGATTACCCCTAACTGCCTCTGCCTCGGTCCCCACCACTGTGGATTTGTTCAGAAGGATGTCCGGAGTTACATCCAGAAGGTCGTTTGGCTGTCCAGTCTAATTAGCATATTATGCTTTTATTATTATAGACTAGAGACCTGGTGCACAGTATTTGTGCACGGGAGGGGGGTCCCTCGGCCCAGCCTGCACTCTCTCCCAATCTGGGACCTCTCAGACATCCCTCTCGCAATCCAGGACCTCTGGCTCCTAACCGCTTGCCTGCCTGCCTACCTGATCTCCCCTAACCACTCACCTGCCTGCCTGATTGCCCCTAACCACTCTGCCTCGGCCCCCAATGCCGCAGCTTCATCGGGAAGGTCGTCCGGAAGGATGTCTGGAAGGATGTCAGGAAGGTTGTTTGGCTGTTCGGTCTAATTAGCATAATACGCTTTTATTATTATAGATATTCAGCTATTCTGAGTGTGGTCCATGGACCAGCAGCACTTGCAGCATTGGGGAACATGTTAGAAATTCAGAATCTCAGGCCCCTCCCAGACCTACTGAATAGAAAGCTGCATTTTACCCAGAGCCCCTGTGACTCGTGTGCACACCCATGTCTGAGAAGTGCTAACACTGCTTCTGGGACTAGTGAGGCATAGTTGTTCAGGACAGAAAGTGGGCAATATGTAGCAAGAACTTCTAAAAATGGTAATATGTTTTGGTTCAGAAATTCCATTCCTATGTATTTAGCCTGGGGAGATATTTAGGTAAATTAATAAGTGTATGTACAAATTATATTTTTAACAGTAAACATTTGGAAGCAAGTTAAATGTTTAACAGAGGAATGTTAACTAGGTGGTGAAATAATATACTGCTATTAAAAATTAAAGGATTTTTGACTATTAAGAGTTATAAAAAATGTTCATATGTTAAACAAAAATGCATGTCAGAAATTTATGCTCACATAGTTATTTTAGAGCAAAATATGTCCATATGCATTTCAAGACTAGAAGGAAATAGAATCTGTTATGTGAGTCAACTGCCTTTTAAAATACTCTTTACTTCTCTATACACAAATGTATTTCACTAGTGAATAATATTATTTTACACTCAGCTAAAAGGTATTTTAAAAGGATTAAGACAATTTACACTGCCCCAAGCAATACATATGCTCTCCTCCTCCCTCCCTGCCCCCCCAGTCTTGCTAGCATTGCTTTTATTATTTTCTTTTAGATTTGCTGGTTGGAAAAAGTGCAAAGTGCCAACTCATTGTTTTAATTTTGAATTACTTACAATTAATGAGTTCTGCATTTATTTTTGGAATCTGTTCTGACACTGAATAATTTAAAGTACATTATCAAATAATGTAGCTCATATTCTAAAGTGAACTGGATGCTGGGTGAGTTCAGTTTACCTTACATTTCAGAATATTATCCTGTGTGGGCTTGCTGGGAACAAAGTTTTGTATACACCTCCTTCCTACATTGATTGGTGTTTCAATCATTGGTAACATAAACCATTTATTATGGAAAATTTCAAACATACATGAAAGTAATAGAAAAGTATAATGAACCCCATATAAGCATCAACCACTTTCAATAATTATCAACTCATGCCCAATCTTGTTTCATTTATACCCAAACCACTTCTTCCCCTATGTTTTCTGAATTATGTTGCAGGAAATCATATAATTTAATCTGTAAGAATTTGGTATCTATCTCTAAAAGATAAGTACTTTTAAAAAAACACAGATACAATACCATTATTACATCTAAAAAATATGAACCATTATTTCTTAGTCTCTATCAAATATTGCCCCAGTTTTTAAATTTCCCATTCACCTTCACATTCTTATTCTCTCTCTCTCTCCCACTAGTTTGTTAGAAACTGGATACAAAACAAACACAAAAAATGGACTGTGATATTACCGCTTGTAAGTTTTTAATGAGAAACTAGGAGGGCGACGCGTCGTGGAAGGTGTCGGGCAGGGACCCGGCCAGTGACAGGTCGGAGGAGGCGGGCGAGATGGGGGGACTGGAGCTGGTGCTGCCGAAGTGGTAGAAGCCATTGGACAAGGCGCCTGCGGACGGGGAGGACTGGTAATGGGGCAGAGTGCCGGTGGGCGTGACGGGAAAGGTGACGGTGGTGATGTCCCCGAAGCTGGGCACGGGGCTCCCCGCGCAGTCCTGGAAGGGCCGCAGCCGGTCCATGAGCGCCGTCTTGGTGCCTGACACGGGCAGGCCTCGGAGCCGAAGCTGCTGTCTTAACTCGGACACCTGAAGAGAGCAGGGCACGTTACTGTGCTGTTCATGACCGTGTTTTAAACGTGAATTATTATTACATTAACTTCAAACGACCACAAATGCAGTCTCACAGTGTCCACTTCTCTTATTATTTCTGTCTCACTTCCACCCCTGCAACCAATATAAATCAGTTTTGCACAATTTTAATAATGCTCTTACAATGTGTCCTATACCATGTTTTCATGGCTCCTGAATCATAGACCAATTCCTGGAAATGTAGAGCCCACACGAACCACAGAGGCACCTCTGTGCTGCCTGCCAATCCCATCCTGGTCCTGTCCCCATTTTACAGATGAAAAGACTGATATCTGCCTAAGTTCAGGCATCAGCTGGCAACCAGTCATCCTGCAGCATACTAACACTCCCGTGTGCTGCCTCCTACCTCCCCACCCGTCCTCCTTGTGGGCGATTCTCAAACCCCAGCAGGTGCCAGAGCCCAGGCCTGCAGATTCTTACACAGGTAGCTGGGCCCCTACACCAGTTTCTGGTTCAGTGGGTCAGGGGTGGGGGCTGAGAGGTGCCTTTCTGACAAGTTCCCGGGGCGCTGATGCCGCTGGTCCCAGCCCAGTGTTGGAGAACCGCAGCTGTACATTAACACCCTGTCCTGAGTTTAACAGCTGGCGAATAGCAGCGCTCTACTGAGAGAGAGAGGTGTGGCAATAAGATCCTCCATTCAAATGCTGGCCCTGCTCTTCCTAGTTCAGTGGTCACCCTGTGCCCCAGCTCCGCTCCTGCACAACACAGACAATCCTACCACTTTATAGTCTCTCGTGAGGATTGAGGTAGCTTAAACAGTGGAAAGCACTGGGAAGAGTACTTTGCACATGGTCAGTGCATGTAGGGGCTGTTATTGTTATGTTGACGCACATATAATTATTTCATCCCTGCACTTTTTCATGTTCATGAATTTTAACCATCAGATATCTAAAAAAATAGAAACTAAATAAATAATAATGAATGCAAATGATGGAATACTTTAGACCTATTAAAACTGATGCTATAAATATTTGTTGATATAAAAATAATTATTTATGGTATAGTATTACATTTAAAAGGTTTCAATTACTTCATTCTATTTTCTAAGAATTATATATATATACAGTATATATGTATATATATACTGTATATATATATATATACACACACACACATATATAATGTATATGAATATATATTTAAGCCTGTGCTTGCAGATTATAATATCTGGATAAAAATGTGCTAAAATGTTAACGATGGTTCTCTTTATCTGTATTTCCTAAGTAGTTCCCATAAGCATATTACTTTTATAATTAAAACAGGAACCATATTAAATACCTAAATGTCAATAATTCCATAAACAGCTAGAAGAATATATACGAAAATATCCTTCTGATATTCTGTAGGGGAAGACCTTTTGAGCATAAAACCAAAGAAGCTAATCATAAAAAGTTGACCAAAAAAATTTGAAAACTCCTATCAGTCACGAAATGAAGATGCAAATGCAAATAGAACTTTAAGAAAAAATAGTTGCAGGAAAAATAATAAAGTATTAGTATGCTCAATGTGCCAAGCATGTTTAACAACCCCGAAGAGAAAGATGGACACCCAACATACAAATGGGCAATGGACATCATCCAACTCTTCACAAAAGAGAACATTTTTAAATGGCCAATAATGTATGCATACCATCATTAGTAGTCCAAGATTTGCAAACAAAAAATATACATATTTTTGTATTCATCTAATTGACAAAGAAATTTGCAATAGCACTTTGTGTTATTTAAATAGCAGCAAAAATAAATCAATAAAATTTTTAAATTGGTGAGAGAGAGAGAGAGAGAGAGAGAAAGAGACATTGATATGAGAGGCAATCAATAGGTTGCCTCCTGACTGGAGATTGAACCCACAACTTGGGTGTGTGCCCTGACCAGGAATCAAATCCACCACCTTTTGGTGTATGGGATGATGCTCCAACCAACTGAGCCACACTGGCCAAGGCTAAAAATGTTTTTTCGTTTGTGTTTGTTTATTTTGTTTTTAAGCTATTTTATACTTAACTAGATGCCCGGTGCATGTGCACGGGAGGGGAGGGGGCCCTTAGCCTGGCCTGCACCCTCTCACAATCCAGGACCACTGGCTCCTAACCACTCACCTGCCTGCCTGCCTGATCACCCCTAACCATTCTGCCTGCCTGCCTGATCATCCCTAACTGCTCGCCTGCCTGCCTGATTACCCCTAACTGCCTCTGCCTCGGTCCCCACCACTGTGGATTTGTTCAGAAGGATGTCCGGAGTTACATCCAGAAGGTCGTTTGGCTGTCCAGTCTAATTAGCATATTATGCTTTTATTATTATAGACTAGAGACCTGGTGCACAGTATTTGTGCACGGGAGGGGGGTCCCTCGGCCCAGCCTGCACTCTCTCCCAATCTGGGACCTCTCAGACATCCCTCTCGCAATCCAGGACCTCTGGCTCCTAACCGCTTGCCTGCCTGCCTACCTGATCTCCCCTAACCACTCACCTGCCTGCCTGATTGCCCCTAACCACTCTGCCTCGGCCCCCAATGCCGCAGCTTCATCGGGAAGGTCGTCCGGAAGGATGTCTGGAAGGATGTCAGGAAGGTTGTTTGGCTGTTCGGTCTAATTAGCATAATACGCTTTTATTATTATAGATATTCAGCTATTCTGAGTGTGGTCCATGGACCAGCAGCACTTGCAGCATTGGGGAACATGTTAGAAATTCAGAATCTCAGGCCCCTCCCAGACCTACTGAATAGAAAGCTGCATTTTACCCAGAGCCCCTGTGACTCGTGTGCACACCCATGTCTGAGAAGTGCTAACACTGCTTCTGGGACTAGTGAGGCATAGTTGTTCAGGACAGAAAGTGGGCAATATGTAGCAAGAACTTCTAAAAATGGTAATATGTTTTGGTTCAGAAATTCCATTCCTATGTATTTAGCCTGGGGAGATATTTAGGTAAATTAATAAGTGTATGTACAAATTATATTTTTAACAGTAAACATTTGGAAGCAAGTTAAATGTTTAACAGAGGAATGTTAACTAGGTGGTGAAATAATATACTGCTATTAAAAATTAAAGGATTTTTGACTATTAAGAGTTATAAAAAATGTTCATATGTTAAACAAAAATGCATGTCAGAAATTTATGCTCACATAGTTATTTTAGAGCAAAATATGTCCATATGCATTTCAAGACTAGAAGGAAATAGAATCTGTTATGTGAGTCAACTGCCTTTTAAAATACTCTTTACTTCTCTATACACAAATGTATTTCACTAGTGAATAATATTATTTTACACTCAGCTAAAAGGTATTTTAAAAGGATTAAGACAATTTACACTGCCCCAAGCAATACATATGCTCTCCTCCTCCCTCCCTGCCCCCCCAGTCTTGCTAGCATTGCTTTTATTATTTTCTTTTAGATTTGCTGGTTGGAAAAAGTGCAAAGTGCCAACTCATTGTTTTAATTTTGAATTACTTACAATTAATGAGTTCTGCATTTATTTTTGGAATCTGTTCTGACACTGAATAATTTAAAGTACATTATCAAATAATGTAGCTCATATTCTAAAGTGAACTGGATGCTGGGTGAGTTCAGTTTACCTTACATTTCAGAATATTATCCTGTGTGGGCTTGCTGGGAACAAAGTTTTGTATACACCTCCTTCCTACATTGATTGGTGTTTCAATCATTGGTAACATAAACCATTTATTATGGAAAATTTCAAACATACATGAAAGTAATAGAAAAGTATAATGAACCCCATATAAGCATCAACCACTTTCAATAATTATCAACTCATGCCCAATCTTGTTTCATTTATACCCAAACCACTTCTTCCCCTATGTTTTCTGAATTATGTTGCAGGAAATCATATAATTTAATCTGTAAGAATTTGGTATCTATCTCTAAAAGATAAGTACTTTTAAAAAAACACAGATACAATACCATTATTACATCTAAAAAATATGAACCATTATTTCTTAGTCTCTATCAAATATTGCCCCAGTTTTTAAATTTCCCATTCACCTTCACATTCTTATTCTCTCTCTCTCTCCCACTAGTTTGTTAGAAACTGGATACAAAACAAACACAAAAAATGGACTGTGATATTACCGCTTGTAAGTTTTTAATGAGAAACTAACCTCTATTCTCTGTACTTTCCCCCCTTAATTTCTATATAGCAAAACATGAGCATTTATGGAAAATATCACCTCATTGCCTTACCTTTCTGGTTATTTAAAAAAAATGTTTGTATTGGTTTTAGAGAGGAGAGATAGGGAGAGGGAAAGAGAGAGAAAGAAACATCAATGTGAGAGAGAAACATCAATTGGTTGCCTCCAGTATGCCCCCGACTGGGCATCAAACCTGCAACCTAGGTAAGTGCCCTGACCGGAATCAAACCAGCGACCTTTCGGTGCACAGGACAACACTCAGCCAACTGAGCTACACTGGCCAGGTTCTGATTACTTTTTTGGAGGGTCACCTTCATTAATTCCTCTTATTTCTTCCTTTCCCAAAGTGTGATTACATCATTTGCTTCCCTTATTCCTCTTCTCTCCTTCCTTTCTCCCTGTTCCATTCTCCTCGCTACTCTTTCCATTTTGCTCTCCTTCTATCTCATCCACTCTTCTAGTTTCAACCCTCCCCACTACGAAAACAATCCCCAAATTTCTGTCCCTATGCCCAACAACACAGCTGAACCCAACCCTTTGTGGTATATTTCTAACAGAAACTGCTGGTACCGGAGACTCAGCTTTCTCAGACTGAATAAACCTGCCTGTGTCCCCTCATATCAGCTCCCCAAGCTACCTTCCCAGTTTCCACCTGTGCAAACTCTCCCATTCACCCAGTGAAGCTTTCTTTCTCTCCTCTCTCCCACACCCCATGGTCAAGTCCAGTCTTCTGTCTGTCCCTTCCTTTCTTTCCATTCTCATCTGAAGTGGCAAACCCTTTGAAATCAGTCACTTAAGTTCAGATCCCAGTTTTGTCATCCATTATTTAATCTCTTTAAGATTTTGATTTTTACATTCCCATTTAAAATGTATATTGTGGGGTAAAATTTAAAGCAAATCTACTTAGCATGGCTGACTGACAGCTTATATTAAAAAATGCTAGTGCCACTGTCATCGCCATCATCTCCTAATGCCTGTGCTAATTACTGAGACTGTGACCAACCGGTGACCCCGAGAACAGAGCTTGGGGGCCCCGAGGGCTGGCATGTCATGTATGGACCATCTTTCTCTGGCCCAGGCATCTCTAGTCCTACCTGACCAGGCTCCTATCCAGTGCGAGACTCCTTTCAAAAGAAGTCTTTGTTATTGTGGTAGAAGACATGTAACATAAAACTCACCATTTAATCATGAGCACCAGTACATCAACAATGTTGTGCAAATATCAGCAGGATCTTCTCCAGAACCTTTCCGGGATCTCAAATTGAACCTCTGTCCCCATGAAACACTGACTCCCCACTCTCACCTCCTCCAGCCCCCAGTAACCCGCATCTACTTTCTGTCTCTATGAAGTTGACTACGCGAGGTACCTTATATACGTGGACTCATACAGTATTTGTCTCTGTGTCTGGCTTATTTCACGGTGTAATGTTTTCCAGGTGAGGGAGCCTGCTTTGATCTCGATGGGTTTATGATCTGGGGAGTGGGAGGTGGTACCCTACGGCTCTGGAGAGCATTGTCATGCACTTGGCATCCCCGGCTAGGTTTATGGATGCCAAGTCCAAACCTGAGCACTTGTATTCCAAGTGGGAGGAATAGAGAAACTTTTGATATTAGGACCCAAGATACACATTATTTACTGGTGTTGGCACTCGGCAGCCATGGAATTTCCTTTAATTTGAAATAATCCCAATCCTACCTCCCCTCCAAGAAGATAATGACCAAGTACTGAACATGGGAATGAGGGTGGCAATGAGGACTGAGACAGGGCCATGGCACTGGCCCAGTGAAGACTAGGGGACTTTTATGAATTTAGTCTTTTGGGAACCATGCTAAGTAAGATGCTTTGTGGGTAAACAGGTGCCATCATTGAGAGTGAGGAGGCAGCAGGTGTGCTCGCACAGCAGAGCAGCAAGGCACTGCGCTCACCCTTTTCAGTTCTGTGTGAATCCTGGGTGAATGCGTGTGCCATGCTGAGGGTTCCTCCGAACCACACCAGGCTCAGCTCAAAGCTCAGGGGCATCTCAGTAACTGAGGTTCTGTGGTCAGTGACCAGAGTAAACTGCTAGCACATACATATCATGTCACAAGTTGCTGCTACATTTCAGAAGGTCTCTGACTGGATTTCATAGACTAGTGCATTGCTTTAAATTATATAATGGACATAGAGTTACCGTCATTTTATCTTGTTAAATAAGGATTAGTATCCTTATTTAATAACTAGAAGCCCTCTCGCTTCTAGGGTCCCTTAGCGTGGCCTGCACCCTCTCGCAATCCATTTTCAGCCTGATCCCCGCAGGCCTGATCCCTGCAGGCCTGATCCAGATAGGAGGGAGCCCGATCCTGTGCATTGAACATCTGTCCCCTGGTGGTCAGTGCATGTCATAGCGACCGGTCAACTGGTCATTCGGTCACTTAGGCTTTTATATATATAGATATTTCTTTTAATAAAAAGAAACAAAATTTTCTCAGAAACACTCAGCTTTCATCTACTACCATCATTTCCTACTGGAAAGTATCTTTCAGCATTCAAAACATTTGGAGAAAATAAGTACTTTGAATAAACATTAGTCAGATCTGTTGACATACTTAGATTTATGAAAAGCGTTTTATATGGTTTTTATTTTCCTCATTTTACCAGAGATTGGTAAGAGGTCATCATGGGATTGACCACTGGCTCAGAGCTCATATCAATCCCATAGCTACTCTTTGTGCTACGTTCTATCATGTATATATGATTCCATTGGATTTTCATGATAAACCATTTATGCAAATGAGAAATCTGAGGTGCTAAAAATTAAGAAACTAACCCAAGGTTGCATAGCCAGTCAAGGTTGGGTATTTAACCATAGCAGTTAATACCCTGTCACCTACTGAGTCTCTCCCATATTCTTCCTCATCATGTTCTATACAAGAAATCAGTTGGTGAAAGTGTTATTTAAAATGTACTGATGTATTTGTTTAAAAAAAGAAAAGAAAATCATGCCCAATCCTATACCTTCAGATCATCCAGGTTTGATGGAAGTGGGCCTGGCTTGAGAGAAGAGACACTGGTTTGTCCAGAAAAGCTGTTTTTGACAGGAGACAAAGGGGTACTGCTCAGTGGTGTTGAAGAAGAGTTTGGATTTCTGACCATCTGCTCGTTTGGTTCCCTGAAAACAAACAAAAAAGAGGGACTTGAAATACAGTCAGATCTATATATTGTGATATATAAGAAATATATATTTGTTGTTCATACAATTTCTGGCTCACGGCTAAAATACTTGGGATTTCTCAAGTGAGGAGAGTGACAGAGGTGTCTCTTGTTATGTTAACGAGGTGGCTTTTGGACTCTATCTAAGGAGGGATGCTGGCTGCCAGGAGAATCCATCCCGTGATTAGAGGGTAGAAACTTTTGGTCCCACCGCCTTCTCATTCCCTGGCCTCCAGGCAGGGTGAGGGACTGGAGATTGAATTCACCAATGGCCAATGATGTAATCAGCCCTGGCTTTGCCATGAAGCTTCCATAAAAACCCAAAAGGTTGGGGGCCAGAATGTTTCTGGGTTGGTGACAATGTGGAGGTACTGGCAGAGTAGCCGGCTTGGAGAGGGTTTGGAAGCTCCATGCCCCTCCCCACACCTTGCCCTATGCATCTCTTCCATCTGGCTGTTCCTCAGTTGTATTCTTTCACAATAAACCAGTGATCTAGTAAGTAAAATGTTTCTCTGAGTTCCATGAGCCGCTCTAGCACATTAATCAAACCCAAGGAGTAGGCTGTGAGAATCTCCGATCTATAATTGGTTGACCAGAAGCCCATGTAACAATTTCTGGACAACTTCTGGCATCTTAAGAAGGTGAGAGCACCTCAGTCTTGGGGACTGAGCCCTTACCTGTGGAATCTGATGCTATTTCCAGGTAGCTAGTGTCAGAATGAAGTTGAATTGTTGGACACCCTGCTGGTGTTGGGGAATTGCTTGGTGATGTGGGGAAAACATCCCCCACGTACTGGAATTGGGTGACCAGAACCCTTAGGGGGTGACTTCTATTTAGATGAGATCACAAGTTAATTGTCTACAAGGATCAGGCAGGGTGAGGAAAACCACAGCAGGCTAGCTGGCAAGTGACACTCAGGCCGAGTCTGGGGGAGACCGGAGGGAGTGGTGGAGACTTTGGCATATGGGTGGGGCGTATCCATGCCTGACTTAGCAGATGCAGCCCTGTGGAGCAGAAGCGAGCCTGTGGAGCTTGGCTGTACTCAGCATAATGGCCAGCGTCACCCAAGGCTGAACAGGGAGACAGCTGGAACGCCCACCCCAACTACAGAGAAACCTCTCTGTTCCACTTGCAGTCTCACAGTTGTCACACTGCCCTTTTCCCAGGGAGCCTCTTATCAGGGGCATTGATTTCCTTGCTCCTTCCCAGCCTATATTCCTGAAAAGATGTGCCCAGTTTTCAAACATAACAGGTGAGGCATGATGTAGCATGGGACTTGGCCCCGGGTGCTGGCCCAGTGCCCGGGCAGAGAGGAGCCACCCACCCTGTGTGCAGCCCGGGCTCTGGGACTCACTTGAGCTGAGCGGGGTGGATGCTGGTGTAGCCGAAGCGCTGCTGCTGCTGCTGGCTGAGGATCTGCAGCTGCAGGAACAGCTGCTGCTGCTGTAACAGCCGCGCGTAGGCCGAGTCCATGGGCGGCGGCGACTTCTCCGCCTTCTGGTCCGGGGGGATGTACTGGTGGTACTTGAGCTTCTTCACCTTTGGCTTGGGGTCCTTGGGCTTCTTGTGGCGGTTCTTACTGTCGCTCAAGGACTTGGACTGCAAGAGGATGGAGACGAACATGGCGTTAGGTGATGGAGAGAATGACTGGTGTCATGGGAACACGCGAGGAGGGTCTGTCCGATAGATGTTCTCTAATCTCAGACATACAGACAGCAAAGCACGATGTGCAAAGAGACCCTGGGACACGGAGATGTCTAATGGACTGGAAGCAAACCCCTTAGGTGGGAATCTTGAACCTTAGAAGTGGCTCCTGGAGCTTTTCCCTCCCAGAGTAGAGTGAGAACACTTTCCTCATCTCAGACCAACTGCCGTCTAATACATTCTGATCTTGGGGCTGATTCATAGGAAAGTACTCTCATATGTATATGTGGAATCACTGCTGGCTAAGCACTTGACGTAGTAATGCCATACATTTAGATGAAATTAACCTTGACTTTGAAAATCCAGAATGTGAAGTTTTGCTGCTTCAGGCTGAAAAGTAATATAGACAGTCCCTCCCACCACCATCCCTAATCCTGATATAAAATCAGCAAGTGGTACCCTCAGAATACTGTACTTACTATGGGGAGGGTTAGCCATGCCCTGGGACCCCCCGGAAGTTACCCTTTGTAGAGCGTGATTTGGACACATCAAGAGAAGTTAAGCGTACAGGCTAGGGAGTGGAGAGAAATTTCTGAAGGTGGTACAAGCACCTTACTACATCTTAGTTACCTCACCTCCAAGTTGGGAAAAATAGTCTCTATTTCCTGTCTCAGTGACCAATGTAAGGGTGATGAAAGACAGTACTGAAGTAACAATAGGGCTAGAGGGCAGTGTGATTAGATCTATGATCTAAAATCAAAGGCCTCCATATGTTAGGAAGCAATAGGTTAATACTGTGATCAGTTGAAAAATATAAATTTCAAACTTTGACTTTTTCCAGAAGGTTGAAGTGAAGAACATGGATATCATGACGGAAGATTCTTGAGAATTTGGGGAAAAGGTGGAGGGAACATGTGGTACCAGCAGTGCCCAGAAGAGGGGGCTCCTGCATAGCTGGCAGGCCTGTTCTGAGGGGCAGCGTCCCTATTTTAACCACAAAACACACATCTGAAGGTGACCTACCCAGGGGAGCTGCCCACTTGCCTTCCTCCGACCAGCGCATCCCATCACCGAAGCCTCTTTGTTTTCTCAAGGAGGCATCTGGGAGACTAATGAATAATGAGCATGCATCCTTCCCTGCTCGTTAATCGATTAGCATTCCAGTTAATGAATCAGTCTCACACTTGGAGGACTTCTCCGGGCCCTGCAGTCAGCTCTGCGCTGCTTGGCAGCTTCTGTTCCCACCTCGTCTGGGACTTGCCTTGTCCCGGGAGCTTCAGCCCTGAGTCTTGCTAAGGATTTTCTCTCCATGTTGCCTTACTTAGCACAGGGACTGGGCCATCCAGAAGGTTCTAAAACCAAGCCATTTTCTCACTGAGCCACTGCACAGTGAGGGCAAAGACTACTGAGCACAAGGAGCTCTGAATTCATGGACCTGTGCCGTTTCACACTCTTTCTGAGGCCAGAGGCTATTACAGCTGTGGGTTTGTTTTGCTGTTTCCTACCCAGAACGGCATGGCCAACCTAAGGGGAGAACAACCTAAGGCAGTGGTGCATCCGAGGTCCAGGGGCTTAAGACCCAGGCGTGAAGGTGTAAGGCAGGTGAGTGTAATGCAATAGGGAACAGTGTACCCTGTGGCCTGGAGCTTCCTCACTCAACCTGCACGCACACAGTAGGGTTGCCACACAACACAGCAGCCCCTGCCTGCGAGATGAAGTCAAACTCGTCAGCCACAGCAGGCTGGTGCCAAACTGCCTAGACCTGCCCTCTCCAGCAGCTCACCTGCCTCGTTTCCTTGTAATTTTCTGCTGTTTTGGAACTCCCTCCTCCACTTGTTGTATGACTCCAGTTCATCCTCTGAGTCCAGCCCAAACCTCAACTCACCGGGGAAGCTTTTCCTAACTCACAGCCATGTCTCCTATCTGTGAGTCTCATATGGCATGGCCATACCCCTGCTGAGGGGAGGGGACTGAAATCCAACCCTCACTCTGCTTTGGAGGTTGTTGGTCCTGAGGCGGAACTATGGCTGCCTGGGGAAGGGGAACCTCTGCTTATCTATATATATAAAAGCCTAAGTGACCAAACGACCAAACAACTAGTTGACCGGTCGCTATGACGCGCACTGACCACCAGGGGACACTCAACACACAGGATCGGGCTCCCTCCTGTCTGGATCGGGCCTGCAGGGATGGGGCCAAAACTGGCTATCTGACATCTTCCGAGGGGTCCCGGATTGCGAGAGGGCGCAGACCAGGCCAAGGGACCCCACCAGGGCCCCTAGTATTGTGATAAAATACAAGTAACACAAAATCACCATAGTCACCATTTGAAAATACACAATTCAGTGGCACTTAATACATTCGCAATGTTGTACATGTCATCACTATCTAGCTCCAGAATATTTTCATCGCCCCCCAAAGAAAGCCATACATACCACTGAGCAGTCACTCCCACCCCCTCCCTCCTTCCTGCAGCCCCCGGGAACCACTTCTGCTTTCTGTCTCTATGGCTTTGGCTATTCAGGATGTTTCATAGAAAAGGAATCATACAATATGTAGTCTTTTGTGTTGGGCTTTTTCACTCAGAATAACACTTTCAAGGTTCATTCATGGTATATCATGTATCAGCACTCATTTCTCTTTATGGCTGAATAATATTCCATTGTGTGGATATGCCACATGCTTGTCCATTCTTCAGCTGATGGACCTTTGGGTTAGTTTTGACTTTTCGCTATTGTGAGGAGTGTGCTATGAATATTCGTGTACAAGTTTTTGTTTGAACACCTGTTTTCAGTTCTCTTGGGCAAATACCTAGCAGTGGAATTACTGGATCACACAGTAACTCAACCCTTAACTTATCGAGGGGCCACCACTGCTTTCTATAGTGGATGGAAACCATTTTACATTATACTTTTCCACTGGCAACATATGAGAGTTCCAGTCTCCACATCCTCACCAACAGTTGCTTTTTTTCTGTTTTTACTATAGCATTCTGGTGGGTGTGCTGCAGTATTTTGTTGTGATTTTGGTTTGTATTTTTCTGATGACTAATGACATGTAACACCTTTAATGTGATTATTGGCAATTTCCTTATCTTTGGAGAAATGTCTGGTCAAGTTCTTAGGGGCACATTTTCCTTACTTGCTCAAAGCACTGTGTTAGTGGTGCTGTGATACCCAACAGGCTCCTGGAGGGCAGGAACCCTGTGACTGCGCCCCCAGGGCCTGCGTGGAGAACACCTTCCTCTCCATAGGAGACTTTCCACTTGAGAGCACTGCTGTGCGTTCACATTGGCCTCCTAGGAGCCTCTCATAGTCAGCAGGGCAGAGAGGGTTTCCAGCGTGGTTGCCTCCTTCTTTGAGAAGCCCTCTAGGATCCTCTTAATTTAGAGATGATGAATATTCAACAAGAAGTCACAGGCAGTGACCAATCAGAAGGGATGTGGGCTCTTATGTAAACCACAGGTGCAGTGCTGCCTGATCAGCTGGCTCTCAGTCCTCCCTCAGGGCAACCTTCTCAGAGTGCACAGGCCTGAAGCTTTGCTAATTTGAACTATGGAATTTAAAATACTTTGGTGGAAATGTTCATACAATTTCTTTGTACACAACTTTGGAAATAATGGGAATCATCTCCTCCTTCCACCTGCGGTGAACACACTTCAGCAGCAGTCACATGACTGCAAAGCTGTTAAGCTGAGTGAATTGGAAGTGAGGTTTAAGCCATTGCAGTTCGGTGGGGGCGCTTACTGGGCAGCCGAAATGCCTGCCGTCCACTTCTGTGTACGCAGGGGCAGGGACCACGGGCTGTTACTTTAACATGGATTGTGACTTAGTCTACAACCACTAGTAAAATAGTTCCTAAGAGTCATTTCAATATTTGTTAAGTGGCGGTCGCAGAGGTGAGAGACATGCCCCCAAAGCAATTAGGAGTTGCATGGGATAAACTGCTAGGAAGGCTAAATGACTCCCAGGCAGCTAAGGAGGAGAGTGCACTCTGGGAACGATGAGCTACAACGCTGAGAACTGAAACCAACGATATGCTAAATGCTTGTAGTTCTTTGTCTACCACGAAGAACATCGCCCCTTTACCTGCACTTCCATAGGGAGCCTGGCTGGACCGAGGGAGGTCTTACTTGTGCAAGGCCTTCAGGTCGGCTTCCCTTGCATGAAGTTCAACTCCCCTCTGCTCATTTGATGGCGCTTACAAATTCTGTGTGCGTTACCACCAGCTGAGTCTACCTCTAGGATGAACTTAGGAAGTCTTTTAAGTCAGGAACAAACTGGTGGGCGCTGAGCCCAAAGAAATGCAAACACATAGGCTTCCCCTGCAGGGAAGCCCCATGCTGTGCTGCATAGAGAGCTGGATCTTGGTCCATGTACCCTGATGGCCCACTGTTCACAGTTGTCATGCATGTGCCTAGCGGACTAAACCTATAACAGGGTCTGCATGGCTTTCCTCTTCCCAGACATAGCTCAGAAAGCTCTGCTCAGCACTGCTGAAGTCAGGGGGGTTTGTGGAAGCGGGCCCATCCTACCTTCACAGCAGCGTGCCCGGGGTTGGTGGTGCTGAGGGGGCCGAGCCCCTGCTTCCCTGTGTCTGACTGGTTGCTGGGCTGTGAGACCGAGTCATTCCTGTCATTTTCTGAGCCAGAAGTTAGATCCTGAAATCCAAATTGTAGCATTACTAGGATGTAAGGGTCAAAACTGTGACATAGAAGTGTTAAAGTAGAGACCTGTCCCCTGTCCAACCGCCCCCCCCCCGCCTCGCCCCACATAAACACACACATAGCTCTGCTGTGTGTTTTTTCAATCCTCACCTGAGGATATGTTTTTATTGATTTTAGAAAGAAAGGAAGGGAAAGAGAGATAGAGAGAAACATCTATGTAAGAGAAACATCAAAACATCAATCAGTTGCCTCCTGTACCCAACCTGTGTAGAGATAGAGAGAAACATCTATGTAAGAGAAACATCAATCAGTTGCCTCCTGTACCCAACCTAGGTATGTGTCTTGATTGGGAATCAAACCCACAACCTTTTGGTGTACAGAACAATGCTCCAACTAACTGGGCCACCCAGTCAGGGCTAGCTCTGCTGTTTTAACCCTAGCTTTATGTCCAAGTACACGTAAGACTACTTTCTCCAGGAGAAGAATATATGTATATTGCCAACCAATTGAGGATATTCTGAGGAGAGAAAAGGGTCATTATTAAGAATTATTCCACAAGACAGGTATAGAACCAGCCTAGTCTTGGCAAACTGGGATATCTGGTCACCCTGAGTGCGGATTCCTCCTGCCTGTGACGAGGTCCACCTGTGGGACTTGATAATGGGGTTGAAAAAGGGAGAGAGAGGAGTGGGTGTAGCAACTGTGGGAAAGGTAGGACATGAATGAGACTACAGGGTGTTAGCAGATGGAGGAAAAGTGTGCATGCATGTATGTATATGTGTGCATATTTATCTCTGTGTGTATGTGTGCATATGTGTATGTGTTCTGGGTATAGCTGTATGTGTCTCTGTGTATACTTTGTGTACACATAGGTATATGTGTGTATATGCTTGTGTATGTATCTGTGTGGATGTGTTCTGTGAATGTATATTTAATGTACATGTGTGTATGTGTCTGTGGTTGTCTGTATGCATATGTGCACTTGGTGTGTGTGTTTGTGTGGATACGTATGTGTGTTTATGTGTATTTGTGTGCATGTGTACATGTAGGGCTGCTGGGCAGGCTGAGGAAAATCGCACTAGGCCTGATGGCTTCTAGGGGTGGCAGCTGAGGGGCGGGGCGGTTGCAGTGTCCTGGAGACCACACACTGCTCAGCCTCAGAGCCTCAGCTCCTCCCCTGTGGGATCAGCATCAGTGCTCCTGCCTGGGGGGCGGTGCTCCCTAACAGGCTACGCTCAGGAAGTGGCTGGAGCGGCCCTGGCGCAGTGAGTGCTTAATGGAATGCGGGGACTGTTGTTAATAATCATCATTGTTCTTTATAAATGTGCTTTGAGCAATATTCGCAATATACATTCTCCACATGTTAAGAGTTTGTGGATTTGTCCAGAGGCCAGTGCTGTGCTTGGTTTGGGGCTGGAAGTGGCCTTGCAGCGGTTCTGCAGGTAGAAACCTGCTCAGGTAGAACCAACATGCCGCTCTGTTTTGTAACCGCAGCGCCCCCTCGTGGCTTCTCAGTGCATGGAAAGGCGACATTGAAAGCAGTCCTGCTCTGGCACATTCTGTCCCGGCGACTGTGGTGGGTCATCTAATGGCAGAGAACCTCATTTTTACTTTGTAAAAATAGGGATAAAAGGTATCTACTTGGCAGAGTAGATGCTTAAAAAGTACGTCCCAGGGTACAGACCTTGGGTTCTCCTCCAGGTGTTCTGGAGGTTTCGCCACCACACAGAGCCCTGGACCCGGGAGTGACACGCCATGCAGACGTGTCTCTGGACCTCGGAGGGGACCCAGCCTGGCAGTGTTATTTCCGGACTATGAAGAGACGACAGGCTAAGAAGCGGTTTGTTACCTGGATTGTCCCCGGAGGACCTGCCAAAGGGGTCTCCGTAGCTTTGGTGTCTGGGGGGGACCTCGCTGGGCCCTGGGGGTCTTCGCTTCGAGTGTGATCTGGAGAAAGCCCGTCGCTGCTGCTGTCCTCGTCGAAGGCAAAGGCATCTGCTGATTTGGAGAAGTTCACCTGGTTCCCTGGGGCAGGGAAACCCAACACTGGTCAGAGGCGTGGGCACGTCACAGGGCTTGCTGCACCTGCTCAGTGCGTCACCCCATTAGGACTAGCGTCACCCTTTTAGGGCTGTGTGCAGTTCAAGGTAACGGTGAAGGTACTTTCTACATGGTTTCATTTCCATCTATTGACTCAGATGGGAACTTGTGTTTATAAAAGCAATGTGCTTGGCAGGGAAGAATGACTTGCATTATTGGTTAAACCTTATTTTCAGGTTTGTCCACTTCTGAACATTTTCTGTGGGAACCCATATCTTTTGAAACCGAACTGGGGGGGGGTGCTTAAGGAAAGAAAAGGCCCACCTCCCACCCCGCCGGATGCAGCAGGAGGCCACTGGAGTGAGCAGGGAGAATGCCACCTTCCTGTCTCACAATGAGAGACATGACCGAGACGACAGTGTGCCATCTGCATCCTCTTCAAATGTAACGCACAACACAGCACAGATGTTTAGCAAACTTCCTAACAGGACGAGCTAGGACAGCTACTGAGTTTAAAGTCCGAATGTCAGAATTAGCTAATGGCCTGGGGTGTCACACCCCACTAGTGCGTATCCGTTTACTGAAGCATAAATGTGTCTCAGAAATGTCGGGGTGATCCTTCCTTGTTTATTATTTGGATTTTATTTTGACTCCTCATATCTCTGGGTCTATTTTGGAAAATCTCACGGGCTCACACAGGCAGAGCTGCCTCCTCCGCTGCCCACACGTCTCTGCGGGGCACAGGTACATTAGCCTGGGAAGAGGATCTATCAGAGCAGACGGCACTATAGTGACACCCTTACATGTCCCGTATGTCCCCTAATTGCTCAGTTTCATCTGGTTTACTACCCAGCTGCACAGTGCGAAATGGGCCGGGGCCACATCGCTCATCTGACCCGAGTCCGGGCCAGCTCTTCCAAAGGAATTCGGGTTTATCTGGAAGTTGCCAGCCCAGCCTTCTGCAATCGCGCTGCCGAGAACTTTTGACTCCTGCTCCGCGCAGATAAGGGAGAGGAGCTCTCACCCGCAGACGGGAAAGGCAGCGAGGGGCTGGAAGTAATGGAACAAATGTGGCTTGGGGCTTGTCATCGCCACCACGGCTGGCATCTGTCACGGCCCCTCACTCAGACATCCCAGGGTCAAGTCAGGAAAGAGGCCAGACTAGGACAGGGCAGGTGGGAGCCCAGCCGCTGGCCTGTGGGGCCTGCCGGCCCGGCACGGAGTGGGGCCCATATGCTGCCCCAGGGAGTCGAGGAGCCTTCAGGAGAGTCATTATTGTTTTTCTACGGTTATAAAAGGAAGCTCTACTTATCATTGACATTCACACCGCAGGAAATGGCCACACTAATCCTACTTTCTATGAAGAACTCGTCTCCGCTTCTAGATTTAATCCTATACGTACAGCAAGACGTACATGCACAAATGTAAAACGCGTGTCACCCAGACAGGCCTGGGGGAACCATCTGCTCTGAAACTTGCCTTTCTCACCTCACACGTGTCCTGGAGACCCTTGCCTGTGAGCACAGAAGTCTTCCTCCATTAGAAATCAGTTTTTGTATCAGCTGCACAGTATCCCATTGTATTAATGGGAACCTTGATTTTTCAACTTTTATTTTCAAAAGTGCACTTTTTTAACTATAAAAAATTTGAAATAATAGACAAGTACAGAGAATAATATAAAACATCTGTAGGTATCACCTGAAATAAATACATGCTATCATTTTCTCATATTTGCACCGAACAGGGGTATGTCATTGGGTGTTTGATAAACGTCACCTTTTTCTTTGCGCTCAGGGGCCCACTGCCCCCTTTAGAATTCTGGTCTCAAACACCTCCCTCTCTCTTTTAAGAGCCCAGAAGTAGCTCCGAGCATTCCCGTCCTGGTCTCTTCCAGCGAACCCTGCACTCTGCACATGAAGCTGTATTTGTCACTGTCATGTGATGTGAGAAAATGTTTCTACTCCTTTCTCAGGGGCCCATTAGCCTGAGCTCTTTCCAGGAAGGTCCTGCCACTTGCCTCCGGGAATCAGCTTCTTGACATTTCTTCACTTTAGAAACCATGTTTTCTTGGAAATTGCAAATGCTACTTATATTTGTGGAATTAGAGACTTTGAGGGAATTAGCCAAATTGCAAAGTTGTCCAAGTAGTGTCCCCTGTGGGTAGAAATGTTTTGAGAAAGGGGGGAGAGAGAATGGTTTCTCTTCTTAGCCTCCGTCAACCTTACTTTTCAAGTGGAGTGATAGCAGATGATAAGAAGAGTAGTTTGTATCAGTCATTCACTTGATAGTGCAGCAATAACAAAAGCAATCGGCTTTCATTAGGCCCTGTGACGGGCCAGTGAGTCAGAGTAGGGGGCACATTTTCTCATCTCTGTTTTGAGGACCTTGCTAGGGCCAGTCTGTCCCAGTGTTTAGAGACTCGCTGACTGGGGCCCAGCCAGCGTCTCTCCTCTCCTGCACACCTGGCCTGAGGACATCTCCATATTCCACAACATGTTGTACTTGAGTTTTTGCGATTTGAGGGGCCAATGTGACTTCTTGATTGTGAGAACGAAAAGGCGCCAGGTTCTGGGGAGGGTGCTCATGCTGGTTTCATTGGGCCTGGTCTCAGAGAGGGCTGGAGGGCTGGAGGGGGCCCTGGGTTGCTACCAGTCAATCAGCATGCCCTTTGCATTCTAATACAGTGGGGCCTTTACTTATGAGTTTAATTCGTTCCGTGACGGAGCTTGTAACTCAAATGACTTGTATGTCAAATCAAAAAGTGAACGAGTGAGACACGTGATGCTGGGCTGATGTTGTGGCGTTCACTGTGACATTTGCTGCACAAACTAGCAGTGGGGTATCTGAAGCTGGCTCATAACCCGAATTTTAGCTCGCAACTCAAAGCAAAAAATCAACCAAGAGTCGGCTCGTATCTTGAAAAACTCGTTAGTCGGGACACTCGTAAGTCAAGGCCCCACTGTATGTACCATTTGGTGACCTCAGATTGAGGCACTAGAACAGTGATTCCCAAAGTGGGCGCTACCGCCCCCCGGTGGGCGCTGCAGCGATCCAGGGGGGCGGTGATGGCCACAGGTGCATTTGGGGGCGATGAGTAACTGCTATTAAAATTAAAAAAAAATTAATTTCCAGGGGCTGAGTAATATTTTTTCTGGAAAGGGGGCGGTAGGCCAAATAAGTTTGGGAACCACTGCACTAGAATGACATGGAAAAGTCTAGAAGTCAAGCATTTGGAATAAAGGAGTCAGTCACCTGTCTCATTTCCCCCAATTCCTCAGTTACTCTCTTCATTTCCAGGCTTCCCACTTCAGGAGAAATCGGGAGAGAGAAGCATTCCCAGACACACTATGGTGGGGAGAAGGCGAGGCATGCGAAGGAGGTTATTCTTGTGTTGCCACGGGACACAGTGGAAATGTCAGGGACTAGACTGGGGAATGCTGGTGGGCAGAGGAAGGAGGGAGCAGTCCAAGACTCCTGGAGGAGGCAGGATTCAGCCGAGCCCAAATGACTGTCAGCTGTGGACAGGCCACAGAAAGGGGGCAGCGGCAATAAAGGGGAGCGAGGAAGGGAAGTGATGGGCGGAGATTCTCAGAGTCCGGTGGGAAGGGGAGGAAGACACTCCCCCAGCCAGGGGAGAGGCTTATTTGGGGACCAGTCCCTGGAGAGGCACAGCTTCTACGCGTCTGCTTTACCAAGTGACAGCGATCACTAAAGAGGTTCCTCCACTTGCACCAGTGAATTCACCGTTAGCACACGCAACCACATGCAGGTACACCCGGATGCAAAACCAGGGTGAAGGCCAGGGCCCAAAATATGGCTCCTGTCTGGTATCTAAAAAGCACGATGTGCCGGCTCGGAATATTCCGACAGACATGTGAGGACCACTCAGGGGCTGTCAGGTCAGGAGACCAGCCATGGCCCCTGCCCATCACCACCCTCAGCCACAGGTGGATGAAGTGGTGATGCCAGGGCAGACCACGAGAGAAAGGGCACAGAGCCCTCACACTACACCCTCAGCTCAGACTCTGCGGATGGAGAAAACCTCGACAGCGGAAGGGCCGAGAGCACAGGGCCGGCTGCGCCCTGAGGGGCTCAGCGTGGTCCGTAGGAAGTGGGCTCTGCAGTCAAAGAGACTTGGTTTGTTTCTCGGTTCTACCACTTCAGTGGCAAAGAGACAGTTGGCGGTTATTTGACCTGGCAGAGCCTCCGTATCCCCATCTATAAAATGGGAATAATAACAATCGCTACCTCTCAGGGTTTTGAGGATGAAAATGACACAGCATGTGTAAAGCACATTGTGCGTTATTTGCATCGTCCCTGCAAGTGCTCAGTAGTTTCTAGTTGTTGTTATTGTTGGTGTTGTTTCTGTGAGGCGTCTCTCTTGTCTCAAGTTTACTATCATCGAAACAAGAGAGACCACCCAGGAGGCGGTGTCCCTGTGGTCAGCTTGGCAAGGGGTCAGCGTAGCTCCAGGGAGAACTGGTGTGTCTGAGTGGATGGTCAGGCTGGGAAGGCAGAACCAGGCCTTCCCCGGAGCAGGGTGTCGCAGGAAGGGGTGTCACTTCACCCCTCTCCTTCCTGGTCAGGCCAGGCCAGACTCCTGTGGAGCGGGACAGAGGTCGGCTTATCTGGCCGCCTCAGGAACAACCAAGTCTATCAGCTTCGTGCCGTGGCCCTGGGCCTCCGCGCCAGCCTCCCCCCTGCCCAGCTCCCGAGTGCTGTGCACTGGCTCTTGTCCCTGGACACACTTGGGGCCCGCGATGACAAGGACCTGCTTTGGGAAGCCCTGATATCATCCCCCAGCTATGCCCTCGGGCTGGCTCTGGGCGCTGGCCCCTGGGGATCTTGGCCTGGTGACTCTGAGCTCTCCCTCCCCCTCTTGGAAGTGATTAGATGAATGAGTCAGTTGTACTTTCCTCGGCATAAACATTTAAAATCCCAAGATTAGAGTGAGATAATGGGAGTCCTAGTTACCTTTCTGCTGG